TGTTTCCTGGAGCTGAACATAACCAAGGAGCCCCCAGCGGGTTTGGCTGGCCCCCAGAGTGAGAGGTGCAGCCAGGGCCCATCCTGCTGTTGTTGGCTGTGGACATGGGCCCAAGGCCAGCAGCCACAGTTCCCCCAGATGCCTTGAAATGGTAGGGACATGCTCATAGGTCAGCCCTGCACATGACCTGCAGAAGGGGTCTGTCCATCCCACTGGCTGCTCAGCCCCAGCTCAGGTACCCAGGCTTCCAAGGCCCAGCTGGAAGAGAAGTGTGTCCCTGCCGGATTCCCACCACCTGGTAGGCAGCTCCCACACCACTTACCCTGGCTCCCCTCTGCCTGTGGTTGGCCTGTGCTGTGCCCGCAGCCTGGCCAAAGCCTGCCCTGGCACGGGCCCAGGGCGCTTGCACAGTCTCTCATAGGACTCACTGTACTTACTGTTGAGGCAGTAGTTCCCACACTCTGCCCGGTGCCAGCATGAAAGAGAACGGGAGAGTCAGACTTTCACAGCCCTTCTAAGATCCCAATTACCATGGTCGCAGATCATTTGAAACCAGCCTTGTTTCCCTCACAAAGCCCTGAGAGGGTCCCAAATGTCCTCTTTGGAATGTGAACATGAGCCAGCAGGAACCACTGCAAATCTCTCCTTGGCATGACTGTTGGCACAGATTCCCACCCCCACCCCCCATCGTTACTTGATGGGATGAGTGGCCGTGGCCCAAAAAGAAGTTTATAATACATTGACACTTCGACGTTTCCTTGCTTTCCACTGACAACTGGCATTTCTTCTAAACCGGGAGAAACAGCTCCTTGCTAAGGCATTACTTACCTTGTCTGTGATTGTGAATTTTCTTGGCCTTAGGCCGCATGTGAAAAGCAAATGATAAGCCGGCTGCATCTCATCTCTCCACGTGGAAAATATCACCCTTACCCCCACCCATCCCCCTTTACAAGATTCCAGAGCCCTTATTGCTTTGTGATTAACAAAGGGCCAGAGCACCCTCCAGAAATGACACTGCTGAACACAAAATGGCAAACAAACGCTCACTTTAGTCGGGATCTCTAGACGAATAATTAATTCAATCCCCAAACATTAGAGCTGAAAGTGACCATCTAATTCTTTCTGGCTCTTGATTATTTGTTTAAATATTATGACTATGATTATATTTTAACCTGACCCTTATACCTGTATTTTTTTTTCTCTATGGTAGCAGTCTTACTGATTTATTAGTCAAAATGTGTTTTTGTCACTCCCTCACATTTATACCTAAAAGCTGGTACCAGCTGGTGACACAAAAAACACTCCAATGAATAGCAGCCTCTAAGCCAGAAGTCCCACAGCCCAGGCAAAGCAACTTTTCCGTGTGAAAGATTTGGAATTCCCAATAAACCATAAGGAGCGGAAGGGACACTAGCTCTTTCATACACATAGGAATTCAGAGGGAAGGGCCCTGGGGGTCCGGGAATCTAGCTTTCCCAACAACCTTGACTCCACTCTGCCACATCTCTGATGCATGGTCATCTGGCCAAGTAAACGCTTTTCACCCTGGGCACCTCCCTAGTCCTCTGGGGAGCCCCCTCCCCTGTTGGATGATTCTGCTTGGTACATTAATTCTTTATTATATTAAGCTGACCCTGTGGCCACAAAGCAAAAAACAAGCAAACAAACCCCCCCAATTTTTCTATACTATCGGCCCTTTCAACTATCTAAAGACTAAATATCTAGTACAGAAATACCCTCTCCCGGGAACCAGCAGTTAGCATAATGGCTATGTCGCTGGACTCCCATGCAGTTGACCGCGGTTCACGTCTTGGACCCGGTGGCTTAAAACTCATGCCGGGTGCGTGTGCGTGCATGCCCATGGAGGAGAAGGGATTGCAGTGTGACCATCCCCCTTCGGGGGGTGATTTCTCGCTTTCTGTCTCTATGTCTCTCTCTGTCTGTCTGGCGAGCACATGCTATAGCGAAAACCTCTCCAAAAAAAAAAAAGAAATACCATCTCCCACCAATTTTCCACTGTCTACTGATACACCATGCTAAGGAAAGAAATTCCCCATACTGTACTTAATTTATATCTTATACATTTGTGTATAAACAGGGTTTTCTTGAAGTTAGAGCCTGTACTAACTGAAGCTATATTTTCATACACTGGGACCAAAAGAAACCACTTAAAGCAAAGCCATGAACATGATATAAATGTACTAAAAATATTGCACAAAATGTCCTCATTGTTGCATGTGTGGTAGGTCAGTACTGATCAGACGAGATGGGTGTTTCAGGACTGTACATCCCTGAGAGCTGCGCCCTAAGCCTGGCTTTGTCTCAGTAGCTATGGGAGCTACAACACTGAGCAGCCCACCCGTGGCGGAGAAACACCCCCATCTAGTGGCCTGCTGGGTCCTGCACAGTCTGAGTTCACAATGTTGTCAGTAGTACAAAGGGAAGGGAAGGGCAGACCAGGGCTCATTAGTTCTTACATAGTGACGTGTCCCCAGGGAGAACCCGTGTCATGGACCCACCTCTCAGAAACTCAGAGCGGAGCAAAGGCTCTGAGAGGTCCCACAGAAGACGGCTTCATGATTTATCTGGGATTGCATGGATTTATTTAACCACAGAATGTCCCCTCTCACCTAATGTAAGTGGATAATGTGTCTGTGAGTGTGTGTTTGGGTGTGTGTAAAGCAACTATTAATTTTTTGGTTATCTTTTCAATGCTTTGAACTTAGGTTTTTTGTTTTGATTTTTTCTTTTGCCAGAGGGTGGATGTGCTTGCCAGAGAGAGACAGAGACAGAAAGAGATGGAAAGCGAGAAAGCATTTCCCTTCATGAGGGATGGTCATGTCGCAACCCCTTCTCTCAGGATTTTAAGCATCTATGAACAGCTGACAATATGTTTTTCAAGCCAGTAGGACCAGGATTGGAATGGCCACAGTAAGCCATGTGGGATTCAGCTTCTTTAACCACCATGCCACTGGCTGGCCTTGCACTTAGTTTATCCTGTGTGCTTTGTGAAACTCTGCTATAAATGATTAGCTTCTTATTTAGATACAAAAGCACTGAGGGACTGGGACATAAGATAGGTAAATTTCAGTTAGAACAGAAAGAAAAAGGAAAGAAAATCTCTAAAGGTGAGAATATATATATATATATATAGGAGAGGTTTTTGCTATAGGGCGCATGCACAATCCCTTCTCCTCCATTCTCCTCTTGGAATCTTGGGCATGCAGGCACACATGCCCAGCATGAGTTTAAGCCACCAGGTTTGGTACTTAAACTGTGGTCGACTACATAGAAGTCCAGCAACTTAGCCATTACTCCATCTGCAGGTCCCAAGTTGAGAGTAAGTTTTTGAGGGGAAAGGCCTTGTTGATTCTCCTCTGGTGAGATGAGAGTGGGCATTGGTATTCGGGTAGTGCATGGGATGCTGCGGATTGAGATGGAAAGAATACCTTAATTGAGAGCCCCAGATGCAAGGCGATTGGGCTGCCCAAGTCAAACCATATGGTGTGTGCTGGCACCTGAAGTTGAGGGTGGGAGTGAGAAGAACCTCTGGCTCCTCCCATCCAGTGGGTTCTGAAGCAGAGACAAAGGGCTCAATTTCCTGCAGCTGCTAATATTGCAGGGAGTCCGTGGACCCGAGAGTATTCCAGAAGCTCAGTGAGAGCTCAATGCCCATGTCTGTCTGGCACAGGCCTCCTATTCCTGCCCCCAACCTTGCAAAGACCAAGGGGGACAAGGGTGGGATCCCCAAACCACCATAGTGGTCTACATGCCTGAAACGGTGGCAAGACTTCTGGCCCCCACTTTGCTGTGCCACCAGGAGATTGGGGCAAGTGTCAAATCTCCCCATTAGGGCTTTTTTTTTAAGAGTCCAGCTGCCCCCCTAACAGGACTAGAGAAAAGCAGCCTCACTGAGGATCGAGAAGGGAAATTTCTCAGGGTGAAGGTGCCCTGCAGTGTGGATCGGATGAGGCTTGGTGCTGATTATTTCTATTGGATGGTTGAAAAAGTCATGAGGCATTTTTGCATAGAAAAATGGAAAAATACATCATGACTTTTCTGATGACCCAATACAACATTTTGCTCCTTGCAAAAGAACTGATTTGGGACCAGTAATTGGTATAATGGCTATGTCGCTGGATTCCCATGTAGTTGACTGTGGATCGAGTCCTGGACCCAGTGGCTTAAACTCATACCAGGTGCATTTGCGTGCGTGCCCAAGATCCTGAGAGGAGAATGGAAAAGAAGGGATTATGGCGTGGTCATCCCCCTGGGTGGGTGATTTTTCGCTTTCTGTCTCTCTTTTTGGTGAGTGCATGCGCCCAATAGCAAAAACCTCTCAAAACAAAACAAAAGAAAAAAAGGACTGATTTAACTTCTGTGGAGAATAGTAGGAACAAGTTCTTGCTTCTGAAGTACAGTCTGATTATCAAGCAGAAAAAAAGGCAAAAAAACCCCCACAAAAAACCCTTTGAAGTATATGAGGCTAAGAATCACCTTGCTGAGTCAGGCAGGATTCTCTCTGGCAATGAGGATGCCTTCTAACCATTCTTGGTTTCAGGCTAATTTACCCACACCTTCAGTATGGTCTCTCCTGTCTTTACAGTCCAATGTAATGGCTCACCTTTCTTCCCAACTCTTACATGAGACTAGATGCTTTCCCTAATATTACAGTTGTCTGTAGTACAAATGCCAAATGTACTTGCTAGGGCCTGGGAAAACTGTCCCAGAGCCCCTTTAACCCTCTCTAGTCACAGCGGAAGAGGAAATGATGGGATGCTGCCCATTCCTCCGATATATGAACCGCCCTAGGATGTGCAAAGACTGCCATTTTCCAGAAGCGGTATCTCGATTTCAAAGCACAAGGAGATACACGCATATCATGGAGGGAAGCCCATAGCCCATCTGGGTGTTAATCTTGCTTCTTAGCTCACTTTGCAGGAAAAGAGGCCTAAAGCCCATCCAGTTCCCCCTGTCATTGTACATGCCCTCAAATCTTGCCAGGAGGTCCAAGCCCTTACTGAGATCTGCCCCATCACTCTGCTGAGATTTGTTTCTCATTGAACCTGAACCTATAATTACAAAGCTATAAATGTGAGCGCTTTGTATCTGTTATGGCTAATGTTCTACAGCAGGAAACACGGGCTAACAAGATCACAAATTATCCCTTCCGCCTTCATTTAATTCCCTAAGGTAGATGTTCATTTATGCCTAGATATTATATATTGACCAGTAGCAGAGCAAGCCTGAAGTGCTGGTGCTAAAAGAGTCTTAGGAAATCCAAACACTGATGTGTGACAGCCAGACACAATTTTCTGAATGAATGGACCACTGTGGAACTAAATCACAGCAAGTACAACCTATTAGCTAAACAACAATTTGCTTGTTAGAGTTATAATCAGGATGATTCGCAAAGGGATCAATTACTCTTTGTTAAAAAAAAAATTCATGAATTGCCATGCAGGCTTCAAAAATTCACTTACATATAAGAAACACCACTAAGTCTTCAAACTGGCAAATTGGCATCTTTCATGTTTTCTAAGATGGCTGCAAAACAACTTCTCTTACCATTCCACACCTAAAAAAAATCTACCTGTAATTTACAGTTTCCCTTTAAGCCCTAATTCTGACAAAAATAAATAAATAAATAAATAAATAATAAATCAATCAATCAATCAATCAATCAGGATTCTGAAAATGAGTAGGAAAGAGAAGAATAATATATTTGTTTATATGCTCACTGCCTTATTTTCTTCAGGTCTGTTGTCTTTATTTGATTTAATTAATTAATTTATTTTTACTACGTCCTGGGCAGGCGAGGCCATTCTGACATTTGTAACAGGAAGGTTCATATGGCCCAGCATAGTGCAAGAGTGTGCAGGCCTGTTCTAGACACCAGGACCACAGCCTCTGCTGCCTTTGAGCAGATGCAGAAAGCAAGGCGGGCGGGGCCCCTGTCTATGATCAGTCCCACCTTTCAGACAAGGACAAGATGGAAACAAGGGCTCCCAGCCCCTGCTAAGGGGTTTTCTTTTTCTCGCCAATAGTAACACTGCCTAGTATTGGTTGAGTACTCACCAGGCACTCTCCTACATGCTTTAAAGCCATTGCTGCATTTAGTCTACAACACAACGCCCCGTTAGATGCCGTTGCTGTTACCACTCCCATTTCACTACCGAGAAAACTGAGGCACAGAATGAGTTGGCGGCATGGAAAACAGCACTCCACAGAAGGCTATGTATATTTTAGATGGGAGAACTAAGGCACAATTTATATTTTTCTGTATCTGGGCAAGATTTCTCTTTATAGCATTCACAGACAGAGGTCAGCATATTTAAGCCAAATATTTATTAGCCTATAAAGCACAGGTATTCACCCATCAGGATAAGCCCTGGGAGTGGCGCAGCTATTAGGATCCTGCTATACTATGGATTAATTTTTTTTTTTAATTTGATATAGGGTGCATGCACTCACTGGAGAGAGAGAGGGAGACAGAGAGAGGAAGAGAGAATGCGCGGGAGGTAGAGAGAGAGATAAAACACGTCTCCATGGGGGAATAGTCATGCTACAATCCCTTTGCCTCAATTTCTACTTTTGGGATTTGGGGCACATATGCCCACCTGCACAGTGTGTTTCTCAAGTCCCTGGGTCCAGACTCAAACTGCACGTTGGCCATGTGGGATCCAGCTACCTTAACCACCATGCACCAATCGGCCCAGGTTAACCTTTTGTTTTTGAGGAACACAGGGAGATTTTAGGGATGAAATCAGGGCAAGAAGGTGGAAAAAACTATTTACTTGCTATAGAAGTACTTCAGCATTTTATTCCTATTAAGTAATTACAACAGTTTATATATAATTAGCCATCTAACATGTTATAGGAATCTATGATCAAAATAACCAATATAGAAGAACCAGTATTACCAACTCTCCTTTGGGGGCAGGGGCTTCCCAACAGTCTGTCCCTCTAGGAAGCAGTGCCTGAGACTCCCAAGATGTACCTTTCTGGCAGTGTGGCCCCTCAAAGCCCAAGGGGCAGTCACACTCATAGCCTTCCTTCCTGGGCCTGCAGCTGCCCCCATGGGCACAGGGGGCCCCCACGCAGGGGTGGACAGCATTCTCCACGTTCACTCCAGCTCTGAAGTCATGCTTTACATGGATGGTTCGGTCATTCAGGATGATCTTGGGAGAGAAAAATGTTAAGAAATTCAGGAACTAGAAAACACCTTTGCAGTCTTCTAAAGCTTCTCTCAACCCACTAAACTGAGCAACACACAGGGAAATTAAAACAAATAGACAAAAATTCCAGTGGCTGCATTGGTAGTCTCCTAAGTGACGCCGGGACTGAAGCGATTCTACTTGGCACCTGGGAGAATCCACTCCTCTGGTTCTGCTTCACTGGCCAAGTGGGCAGGTCGTAAAGATGCTCGCAGAACTGCGAAGTTCTGGTTCTCAACTGGGCTGCACATTAGAATCCCCCCAGGGGGAGGAAGGGAGGGAAGTTTTCAAGAAACACAAATGCCCAGGCCCACCCTGACCAGCATCTCCAAAGGTGGGACCCAGGTATCAGTAACCTTTAAAATCTTTCAAGAATTGCCTGGGAAGACCTAGCCAAGGTTGAGAGATGCCCCTATAAAGGGACTAGGGAAGAAAACAAGATGGAATGTCATGAAGCCAGGAATCAAAGTGGGTGAGTGATGGTTGTTGACAGCTGTGGAGGCCACAGAGTCTCCTGGTGTACTTCTCTGTGCTTCTGGCGAGTGTTCCTGAAACTCCATTAGCTGGATTGTCCCTAACACTCCTGCTATCCACCTTCCCCAACATCCCTGAATTCCCTCCCTCTCCATGTTCCTTCCCCACTACTAAAGAAGAAAAAGGTGAAACTCAGGTTGCCGCAGCAGATTCTTCGCACTGCTGTGCACAGATTTCCTGGGGCTGCAGAGCACCTTTATTCCCTGCAACAGGGCTCTAATGAAACTGATGAATTACAAGAAGCTGTAACTGGGTTTCCTAGACCCATAGAAATGGGCCCAGAGTCTTCAGCCCTTGACTCAAAATGTGTATTTACTTTGAGCTGTCCTGGCTTTGCAGAACTCAGAGGCAAAGAGGTCACCAGGGGGTGAGAAGAGGTTAGCAGCACACGTCTTACAACGAATCCATGTCTCCAAAGGCTTCTTAGTCCTTGGAGAGCTTTAAGAGTTTAGAGAAAACATTTCCTCTGTCTGAGAAGCTGCTAGAGAACAGCCAGAATCCCTGCATCGCCTCTCCTTTCATGCTGCAAGTGAAGAACTATGAAACCGAATAATATGGGCTTGGAATGAGCAGAGTGGAACCTTTCACTATGGGGCAGTCACCAGGAGAGGCCTTTCTGGGAGGTGAGGAGGAAAGGGCTGTCCGTGGGATGTGAAGCAGGGCAAAGCCTGGCAAGAGTGGGCAGTGGGGCTGAAGTGTCTTCACAAGTCATCTTGCTTCCTAACTGAGAGTTTCAGACACTTGATGGGGCCTGGCTAATCCCACTTGTGGGTGGGAGATGATCTGAACTGAGGTGTCTTTGACATTGTGGTTCAGCAAGAAAGGGAGACACGGGAGAGTCAGCAGACATTGACTGGGCCTGACACCGAGAGAGATGAGATAAGCACACAGCCGCAGGACACTTCCCAGTGCCTGAGTGTGCAAATCATGGTAGGACCTCCTTTCACTCCCTCCTTCACCTTAGTTCTCACATACTTCCTCACAGGCCCATAAAGGACCGATGGCCCACACATCACCATTGGCAGCTAAAGGAAAACAGGATGAAACTAACGTCAGTAAGCTGAATATGCAGTTCTTCCGGTCCCACTTCTCCCTGTGATTGGTGGTCCTGCACGTCGGGGCTGAGGGGTCAAGCTGCATGTCTGTTTCAGACAGAGCATGTCCTCATAACTGGAGAAATCATGGGAGCTCCAAGAGAAAGAATGAGATGAAAATGAGCATAGTCGGTATCTCTTACTAGATGAGTGTTTTTTTCCTGAGTCTGCTAGGGAAGGACTCTTTAATATAGGCTTGTAAAAGCTGGGTTACATGATTGATGAACAACTGCTAAAGTGTGGGGTGGAATGAGAGCTGGTTTTTAACTTAATAACACTGCAAAGTGACACCAAAGAGAAGCACAGAGCCAAGGGCTGCTATTGGCCTCCGTTTACCTCCTGATTCTGAGGAAGTATCTGCAGCGACCTGCTGCCAGTTGCCTGACTCAGCAATCCCAAGATATTTTGATGGATTTGCTATAAAAATTCATCTTCACTGAGTAGCATTCATGGAATGTCTGCTGGGCATAAACCCAGGGGTAGATGTTATAAGAAAGTGGTATTGGAATGCTATACTGTGAGCATTAAAAAATAAAATCTTGGGCCAGTCAGTTGGCATGGTGGTTAAGGCGGCTGGATCCCACATGGCTGACTGTGCAGTTCAAGTCCCAGACCCAGTGACTTGGAAAATGTGTGTTTGCCAAAACCCTAAGAGGAGAAGGGAAAAGAAGGAATTGTGGCATGCCCATACCCTTGGGGTGTGCTTTCTCATTTTTTCTCTCTTTTGCTTCTCTGTCTCTTTCTGACAAGTACGCATGCTTTGTAGCAAAATTTTGAAAATAAAATAAAATCTTAAAAATATAAAAACTTTCTCCAAGCTTCCATCTTGTGTGCAACAAATTACACCAACCACAATCCCCAGCTCCACTGTCTGCAGTGAGGCTCGCCCAGAAGACATGGGAAGGGAAAGCATACCTTCTGGATGCTCCCGCTGAACGGCCTAAGGATGCCCGAGTTCTTCTTCACATCATCATAATTGGGGACTCCGCCAATAAAAATGTCCGTGTCGCACTTAATCTGTGTGAAGCCTCCCTGCCGACACATTACAAAGCATGATGTAATTTTAGAATATATAATGAGGACTATCAAATTTGCCTTTGCTTCCATGATGCAGAATTGAATGGTAGAGACAGTCTCAAGACCCATCACAATAATTGTCTACACATTGGCCTGACTTTCGCCTTGCTTTACATGGTTATTTAATACTTAGCTGAATGTCAATATACTCTTTAATCTCCTTCAGACTCAGTTGCATCATCTGTAAAACAGGGATCATCTCTATCTCGCAGGTGTGTCAAGAGGGATGTGGCAGATGGCATTACTGCTTGTTTCTATGTGGCCCCCTTCAGTGGTACCCCTCCCTGCAGGAAGAGTTCCCTCTAACCTGTTTAGCTCAGGTGTGGCTATACAACTTGCTCTAGCCAATAAGATGTGTGCAGAAGAGAAATGAATCGCTTCTGAGCAGAAGCTTGGAGAGCTAGGGTCGGTTCACCATGGCCCCTTGTCTCTTGCTCTGTTCCTTCAGCCTGGGTCTCAGGTAAAAGCTGCAGCCAACCATTGGTAGACATACAGTGTGAGTGAGAACTAAGCCCTTGTTGTAAGCTGTTGATCTTTTGGGGTTGTTTGTGATGGGCTGAAGCCTGATCTAGACCATCCTGGCAGCAGAAATACCACTGATCTAGCACTTTGCCCAGAGTTGGATGTAAAATCAGCATTTCAGCATGGCTGGCTATTGTTAGATTGAGAAATGGTTAGATAGAACTTCTGTGAGGCCAAGAGAAGGGGAAGGCATTGTAGCAGGGAAGCTGTCTTATCGAATGCAAGCGGCAGCAAACATCTTCCATTTTTCAAATTCTTAGGGAACTCCCTTGTGTCAGTTCTCAAAGCTTTCCCTTGCTGAAAATGGTTTTAATAACTTCGGTTCTCATGGGTGGGTGAGCTAACAAACTGTGTGTAATATTTAATGCCTAGGCTCATTTAAGCATAAGCCGTAAGCAAAATATTAAAATATCATAAGATAAAGCATAAGGATGAGCTAAAAAATTTGAGATTCGCTTTTAGGGATATAAATTTTGATGGTATGGTAAAAGAAATACAAATACAGCAGCGATCAATCATTCACTTAAAAAATATCGTTAGACACTGTTTTAAGTACTAGACAAATAATAATAAGAAAAACCTAGTCCCTGCCCTCCAAGAGTTTATACTAGTGGGGCATATAGTCAAGGTGGTAATAGCAAGAGTGAAGACTGTACAGGTGGCTGTGGGTGCACTTGGGTGGAGGGAGAGAGGTCTCATACCCATACCCAGACAGAGGGCGTAGGTGGTCAAGGGAGCACTGGAATGGTAGAAACTGGAAGAAGTTAGGACTTGGAGGGTATTGAATATAGGGCAGAGGCAAGAAGGAGCCAGATCATGTAGGACCTTATTAGTTATGTTAGGAGCTCAATCCTTACCTCCAAAATGTGAATTTTAAGAAGGATACAGAGAGATTAAGTTTTAGAATGATCATGACCAGAAGAATAGATTTGGGGTAAGTTCAAGGGTGGAGAAGAGAAGACAGAGAGATCATGGATGAGGATACTGTTTCTCTTGAGGATGCTCACAGTGGCAGGTCCAGCCAGGTCATCCAAGAAAATTATGATTACATTAACAGGCTACATTACCTTTGGTCAACAACCTTCAGGCAGCTTTGAGGGTTTTTATTTAAGCGAGAGGCATCAAAGCAGCAGAAAGACTTTCAGGAATTTTTGTGGCCCAGCAGAATACTAAACTAGGCAGGAACTGTTCCCACAAACCCACAGGCATCTCTGCTTTGTCTTTGCTCTTACCCAGACATTAAACTAAGATAATAAGAGGAAAGGAGGGAGGTTGCAAGGTCAAGGGGGTTCAGAGCAGTGGGCTATTTTGAAAAAACTTTGAATTATAGTTGTGCATCTAGCCAACAGGGCAGGGCTTCATGGGGTCTGAACTGGTTCCTTTAGGCTACTCATCACACTCCTCCCCTGCCACCCTCCTGTTGTTAATAGAGGCAGGGCTGCAGCTGCCATGGCCATGGGGAACTATAGGAGAGAAGGAAAGAGGTCTGTTTTCAAGAGAGGTGCTTCATGTCTGGATCTGCCACTTCTGCCGGGCTGAAAGCACTAGAAAACCTAAGCACTTTCTGTGTTGGGGGTCTGAATTTCTCAAAATCATTGCCCTTTCTTGCACTGTGCATAGCTAAACCCAACCCTGGATGTTGGTATTTCTCAGTGCTGTTGACTACGTAGTCTGGGGTCAGGTTTGGTCTGGCCACAGGCTCTTCAGCGTCCTGGATTAGCCCACTTAAAGTGTATTCTAGCCCCTGCCCCTGCCTATTTCAAACTTAAAAGATCACTTCCCCTGTTAGACATATTTTGAGCCTGATTTGGGCATCCAGGGAACAAATTTTTATGTGGGGAGAGGATTGGTTAAGGTTCAACTCACTGAGATCAAGCCACTTTGGCTCTAAGCTGCCTGGAACATCCCTCAAATGCACACACCCCGAAGCCACACCCTCCTGTCTGTTGACATTGCTTTCAAGTGGGAGGCACTCCAGTACAGGCTCTACCATACTGGTTTAATTCTCATTGGCTGATACGGTAGTAAGAGAAGCTCTGAGGTGTGGTTTTTACCTCTGTGCTGTCTCTTAGATCCTAATAGTAAATACTGTGTCCTGAAGAGTTCCTTATTTGTAATCAAAGATCTTAACATTACTATTTATTAATATTACCATCCGAAGCTTTTGTTCCTTTTTTTTTTTACAGATTCTTGTGTCTAAAGTCTAGAGAGGTATAATTGAATTTATTTGATTAAGTGAACATACGTTAGAATATTCTGGATTGTATCATAATTGACTCCTATTCTCCTTTTAAAATATATTTTTCTTTATCTGTCTTCTTATTCCCTTCATTCTTGCTTTCATATCTTCCTCCCCCTATTCCTTTTTTCCACAAATATAAACAGAATATTTTGTAGGTGAGAAAGGTGCTCATTTCTTCAAACAGAACCCAGTTTGGGATTCTTCTCGTTCCCAAGGAATCCATGGTCGTTGTTGTTATTGTTTTTTTTTGAGAGAGATTTTTGCTATAAGCTGTGCGTACTCACCAGAGAGACAGAGACAGATAAACAGAATGTGAGAAATCACCCTCGGGGGGGGGCACACAGCAATCCCTTTTCCTCCATTTTCCTCTCAAGATCTTGGGCATGCATGCACATGCACCCAGTGTGAGTTTTAAGCCGCTGAGTCCAGGACTCGAACCACAGTTGACTATATGGGAGTCTAGCAACGTAACCATTATGCCATCTACTGGTCCCAGGAGTCCGTGGTTCTGATGGGTCCTTCTCACTGCCATCTTGGGCTAGTTTATGAACACCTATCTCCTTTCTTCTCAAAGAACTCTTACCTCAATAAACTCTTCCTTCCTTTCTTTTTTCCTACCAATCCATTTGCATCATTACCCCAAAATTTGTCCATGCCATCTTGAAGTCTTGCTTTATACAGAATAAAAACTGTTGCACACTAAGATACTGGCAAATCTAGAGTCCTGTCTGCTTTTATGGAGCCATAAATTTCATTTGCTTGAAAAAATCCTACTAGACCATAGTTAAAAACAAATTTCTCTTAATCCTTTTGATAATGTTTTTCTTTGTTAATGACTCTGGAAGTAAAATCATGAAAGAAAATTATGAACTTGAGTAGAAATTGTGCTCTTGAGTCCCTAATAGTACACTGTTAACCGATAATAACAATAAAAGTAAACCTACATAGTGCTGGCCATGGATCAGATACTATTGTGTTTTACATATATAATTTTTTCCATTCCCACTATTATATGAAATAGGCACTGTTATTATCACCACCATCCCCATCAAGATGAGGCTAATGGTGAGAGAACACAAACTTGGAAGGTCAAGTAACCAGTATGAGCTTACACCACTGGCGAGTAGAATAACAAAGGCAGATTTCGAACCCAAGAAGTCTGTTTTATAGTCTTTTTTTGTCAGATGTGTTACCCCTTATACCAATGACCCTACCCTGGAGTCTGTCTTCTTACTCACCACATTACAGTGCCAGAGAACAAAAAGATAGAGGATGGGGTGAAAAGAGTAGAAGGCAATTGTTGAGTGCTGTGCTGATTAAGCATTAATTCACTTAATCTTTACAACAACTCTAGAAGGCCAGTATTATTATTATTATCCTATTTAGAGCTGAAGAATAGAGAAGTTAAATAATTTGCTCAGTAAAAGAGCTGGAATTTCTACTCAGGAAGACTGACACTTGCATTCATGCTCTTATATGCTGTGTTGCTTCTTTACAAAGATAGGTAGGGAACCAGCAGTTAGTGTAATGGCTATGTCGCTGGACTCCCACGTAGTCTACCGTGGTTCGTGTCCCGGACCCGGTGGCTTAAAACTCATGCCAGGCACGTGTGCGTGCGTGCCCAAGATCCCGAGAGGAGAATGGAGGAGAAGGGATTGCGGCATGACCATCCCCCCTGGGGGGTGATTTCTCGCTTTCTGTCTCTATGTCTCTCTCTGTCTGCCTGGCAAGCGCAAGCGCCTCATAGCAAAAACCTCTCAAAAAAAAAAAAAAAAGGATAGGTAGAAAACAGTAATTCAGTTCACACTGTCAGGAGAAAAGATGTCCCCTTCTTACCTCTGCCATTCCCTCTACTACTTTCTGTTTATCCACCTGTAAGATACCATTCTTTGCTGTGCGAGATACACGCAACTCATGCCAGTGGCCTAGGGCAAGGGGTTCTTCACTCCTGTAGAAGGAAGACATGATGTTAGTTTTATGTTTCAACTTGACTGAGCTAAGGGATGTCCAGATAGAAGGTAAAACATGATTTCTGGCTGTGTCTGGGAGGGTGCTTGCAGAACAGGTTAGCGTTTGAATCAGTAGATCCACCCGATATGGGTGGGCACTATACATTCTGTTGAAGATACAAATAGAACAAAATGGTAAAGGAAGGGTGAACGGTCTGCTTAAGTGCTTTTGTTCATTGACGACTCCTGGTTCTTGGGCCTTTGGACTCAGACTAGGATTTACACCATGAGCTCCCCTAGTCTTGGGCCTTCAGACTTGGACTAAAATACACCATTGGCTTTCCTAGGCCTTGAGTGTGTAGATGGCAGACCATGGAACTTCTCAGCTTCCATAATTAAGTGAGCCAATCCCTTACATTAAGTCTCCTTCTATAGATTTATAAATAGCCTACTGGTGCTGTTTTTTAGGAACATTGACTAATACAGAAGGAAAACAAGTGTGGGTTAGCATGCTGTGGATTGTGTCCATTTACCTGGCTATGATAAAACTGCTATCAACCTTAGACACTTCATTAAGTAAAAAGGAAATAATAATTCTTGCTTAGTAACAACAGCAGTATGAGCTCCTTCATAAAAGAAGCACTGCATTTATCATTTTATTTATTCCTTACAACACACTTCAAATATGGATATAGTGAATCTGGTTTTCTAGATGAAAAGTGGCATGAGGGTAAAATATGATCATAATTGTGTACAAGTTTTGAAGAGAACATAATTATATGGGCTATAGTGTAAAACACAGATTCTTTGTATTTTACCTTCTTTTAAGTGCAAAAAACATTCTTTTAAATGCATAAAACAAGGAAGGAAGGGTAGATGAGTAGAGAGAGAGAAAGATGGCTAGAAATGTGATACAACGATAAAACGTTATTACAGACTATAGTTGATAGGACATAAAGACATTTACAATTTTTTCAACTTTCCTATATATTTGAAAATATATTCATGATAAAATGTTGGGAAGGGAACAGATTCTATGTGTTCTGATATTGTGAAAAAGACTTAAAATAAGCTAAGATATTCAATTAATTCAAGGTGAAAGTTCTTGAAGTTTAAATGATATTTATAGAAGTTTCACACATTACTTTTGATAGTGAGGTATGCAGAAAGAGTACCATTATTGCATTTGTATTTCTGGCAATGTGTAGTTCGTGGCCCTCACTGAACCTCCCAGTTATTTTTCGTCCTGGATCATCTTTAGAAAACCAGGAGGAATACCAATGGGCACAATTATTGAAAGGTCACCACCCCTCACTTGAATTTTTTTTTTACTCTGGCAAATGCTTTTGTGATTTGTCCTTAGCAATTAGAATTTAATCACCTTGGCTAAATCAATATGCAATAAAGAAACAAGCAGCCCATTTTTAAGTGGTCTATCTCCATAATAACCAACAGCACCACTGTCACATTCTTGTCCTGCAGAGGTCATCTGCTGTCAATACGCTACCTTCCTTTGCACAGTATTATCGATCACAGCCACTAAGAGCTCATTCCAATTGTCTCGATTTTAAAATCAAGTTCATAATGAATTTAACCACCTTTTCCTTTACCTAAAGTTAAAATAATTTGGCCAGTTTTGCAACTTCCTATAGTTCAGGCTTTCATTGAATCGTCTTAATTAAGCAGAAGTCTTTAAAATGGTTTTCAAATAAACAGCTTCCCGAAGAGCATCTGAAACACCAAAAGAGATCACTGTTGTCAGATTATGCTGGGGAAGAGAGGGGGCAAAGAAGCAGCTGGTGGTTTGTTCTTTGGAAGTTCTTGCTTCATTTTCTTTTCTCTCAATACTAAAGGATTCTTTTTCCCATCGCCTTTTCTGACAGACAGGAAAACGGTAACTTATTTTCAAAAAAAAAAAAATCATTAAGAACAACTTTCATCAAAAAGGCACAGAGTTATCAGAAAAAATGCTGGACTCTGTGTGTCTGTGACCCCCAGCTTGAGCTGCCACTGCAGAGGTAAGGCAGAGCCGGGCCATCTGTCCCACAGGGCCAATGAGCCTGACTTGCCTCTGGCTCTCTGGTCATTCCTTATCCAGGAAGAAGCCATTGAAAAGTGCAAGACGATATTCAAGGTGTCTTCCTTTCTCAACCTGACATATTGTTCTAAGTGAATTGCTTTGGCTACTTTGCATAATCATATGTAAATTGAATCAATTAAATATCCACCAAAGTTGTCTTGAGATACAGAATGCATAATCAGAGATACAAAAATGTCCATTTCCCAAGGCATGGGAGGTGTCAGGGATGAGTAGAAATTCGGCCACAAGGACAAAAACAAATCATCCTCTTTAAGAATTGTTGAAACCTCATTTCCCATCAGCTGTACAAAACCATCAGCAGTTAAGGGCAATGCCTGGTTGTAACATCTCACTCACATATTCTTTCCAAAAATGATAGTCTAGTGCTATGAATTATGATTGAATACAGCCTGCAATTTCCTTTAAAACAACGGACTAACAGATACCTTGTTTGCAGGGTATCATTGAGCAAAACATCTCCGTGAATTTCAAGAGAGAAGAATTAGACGAACATAGGAACAAGAAACACGTCTGCATTCGGTTAGTGGTCCTCCAGCTTGAATGATAAAAATTATGATGGGAGGAACACGGTAAGACAAGAGAGATATAAACAAATAAAAACATCTTCACCTACCAACCACAGGCTCCAAGGGACTAAAACAAATACTACCTCACCGTACAGGAACGTTTGACCTGCTAAGTAATCCTACAGTATGAACTAGACAACAGAAGGCAAGTTTTGATTATTCAGACCCATTCTGCAACTACCAGCAAGTACTTGAGAAGGACTTGTTTATTGTCACACCATCGAAACCACTCATCACACAACCATGGGCATACTGGTCAGGGAATGGGTCTTTGCAGTGGCAATGATTCATTGTCAGATTCCTTTACTTGGCGAACAGAAAGAGAGAGACTTGCTAAATTGATACCATCAAAGAAAAAGTTCAAGGGGAAAATTAGATTTCTGTTATTTATTTACTTTTTGCACTTGTACTCTAAGGAGAGACAGAGACAGAGAGAGAGAGAGAGAGAGAGGGAAAGTGAGAAATCACCCTCCGGGTGGATGGCCATGCCATAATCCCTTTTTCTTCCTTCTCTTAGAATTTTGGGCATGCATGCACATGTGCCCTCTAGGAAAGTTAAAAATTTAAGTGAGGTCTTATTTAATGACATTTCTAATCATTAAATATGTGTAGATACGTTTTTATTCCCCACGTGTGTTTGTTGAGTGCCTGTCATGTGAAGATGCTGACTAGTTAACAATTTATCAAGTTTCTGCTGATGGTATTGCATGACCTTGGTGGAAATGGAGGCAGTTCAGAGACTCTGAATTGAGGAATGGTCAAGGTGAAAGCTGAAGAAACAAGAAACAAGCCCAATTCAGAATCCCCTGTGGTAGAAATTGACTGGTTGTCCACCCGTAGCTGTTTTATTTTATTTATTTTAATTTTAATTTTTTTTCCTCTTTCTTGGGCACAGACCTAAACTACATTTCCCAGCTGTCTTGAGGTTATATGGGTAGTGTGACTGAATTCCGGCCAGTGGAATATGAGTGAATGTTTACATCCTCCTGAAACAAACACATTTCCCACAGTTTAAAGTTGTCTAGCTACTTGAGAGGAACAAACCTGGCAGTCAGGAGAGCACTATCCACAGAAAGTCTGACTTAATGAAGCAGGACAGGTTTCAAAAAAAAAAAGGGAACACGGGAAGAGCCTAAGTCGCTCAGTCTTTTTCCAACATGGTGACTGCTTGGATTTTGAGGGGAGGAGGTTCCAGAAGGCCTCCGTTCTCACCTGAGAACACCAGTTCCAGAGCCACAATCAAAGCGGAACTCCACGTGGCCCCCGGCCATGTTGATGGACAGGAAATCTTTACTGCCTGTGTCATAGCTGTACAGGAGGACACCGTCTCCTGAGTCGGGCCGGAATGTGATCTCAAACTCCATGAAAGAAAGATAATGATGGGGCTCCAGCGGCCAGGGTGTCGCAGCGTAGGATCTCAGAGACTCTCTGAATTGAGGAATGGTCAAGGTGAAAGCTGAAGAAACAAGAAATAAGCACAGCTCAGAATCCCTCGTGGTGGAAAACTGACTGGTTGGACACCCACAGCAGGTTTTAGTGTGTGTGTGTGTGTGTGTGTGTGTGTGTCTGTGTGTGTGTGTCATTAGTATCAGAGCAATACATGGCAAGGACTTGTGTCCCTGAATGAAAACATGGAGCAGGAATCCTACTCCCACCCCACCAATAACCTGCAGTAATTTACGATATGAGCAAGACTCACCGTCTTTATGTGAGGCTACTGAAACAAGAGGTTGTATGTACTAGCACTGGCTTACCCTGACTCACGCACACTTTCCTAGGTGACATGGTGTTTGAGATTATAATGTTACTAATACAAAAATGTCTCCCTAGTATGAGATCTTAGGTCTAAATCTGAAACATTCACAGAGGAATTTGATTAACTTCATGATCTTAGGTCTAGTTTTCTTTTCTTTCATATTTTACTCTTAGAATTTTGGAAAGTAAAGCATTCTTATCCCTCCATGGTTTTCCAACATCTTTTAAATGGTAGATTATTATATGCCTAGATATGTGCACATCTCTGTTTGTAGGTGCATGTGTGTTTATATGTATGTGAATATATATATTTATGTAATTAATATATATACAGTATTGAGGGATGGGAATATTCAGCAGAGCAGTACAAAGAAGCATGAATAAGATCACTATTGTCCCGTTGTTAATGTGATATGCAGATCTTCCCAATATTTTCTCTGAAATTGACTGATACGCTAAAGAGCATGAGCATGAGCTTTATATGCTTTGAATTCAGTCTGATACTAATGACACAAATACAGGCTTTTTAAAGTGATTTGATGGCAAAAGGATGCCATGCATGCTCAGCATGCTAAAATGAGCATCCCTGGTTGGTGTAAAACTTGGGCACTCAGAGACTCTAACCTAGCACTCTAGCCTGGTAACAAACGATTGTCCCACCCTCCCAACAAAGCAACAATAATCTCATAAAAGTGTATGGGACTTTGATAAAAGTACAATGATAAATATTACATCCACATAAATTAACATGCAGGTAGAAACTGTCATCGACTTGCTTCTTTCTCACCATCTTCACAGTGTCGACCTTTGAACCCAAGGGGACAGAGGCAAATGTAGGAGTCGGCTTTGATTGCTGTGCAGGTGCCACCATTGACGCAAGAAGCCTCGTCACAGATCCCACTGCTGCATTCCCCTAAATGTAGAACAGGAGTTACCAAGCCAGGTCATCAAGTGAGCTAGTCAAACACGCCGACCATGCCAATAGCTCATGGTTCTGAGCAAATACAGTCTGTTTCTCTCACCTGTCGATTCGTACCTCTACACAACTGCAAACCATCTTTCAGGATATGTTGGATCTCTTCAATTTAATTAGATTTTGACTTTTCCTTTATGAAGAGTTACAGAAACTATTAAGAATATGATGAACCTGGGCTAGCCCAGGGCATGAGGGTTAAGGTGACTGGATGCTACATGGTCAATTGTATGGTTCAAGTCCCAGAACTTGTAGCTTGCTTGAAAAACATGCCGTGTGTGTGTGTGTGTGTGTGTACAAAATCCAGAGAAAAGGGAGAAATGGAAAAGAGGAAATTGTGCATAATCATGCCCTGTGGGTGGGTGCTTTCTTGCTCTCTCTCTCTGTCTCTCTCTCTCAGATGAGTGCAATGCCCTCTAACAAATTTATATATATATATATATATATATATATATATGATGAACACAAAGTGCAATGCCCTCTAACAAATTTATATATATATATATATATATATATATATGATGAACACAATAAATCAAATAATAAGTTGCTGGGCATTTTTTGATCACTGATGGAGAAGACTGAGTTGTTTTCTGCTTTGATTTATCTCTGTTGCTCCCACAGGAGTGTATTTCAATCCCTCCAATGTCACTTTTAAATTAAAAGTGTTCTAATTTGTGTGACCCCAATTAGCTTAAGTGCTACTGCCTTGTTGGTTCAAAGTTGAAACAAGCAAGATAAGCATTGAAGGAGTTAGGCATCCATGTCTAAGATTAACTTGCCTGAATTGCTGACTCCTCTGTCTTGGGCAGTGAGGTAGGAGAGAGGGCTCTGTAATACCTTAGCCTGTGGGTTCTAGAATCCCTATTTCTACCTCCATCGTTACAATCCTACGAGGAACAGTAAGGTGCCTGGGAGTAAACAGTGCTGAAAGATTCGACATCAAGTGGGTTAGTTCTCTTTACCAAATGTATCCCAGACAGCTCCATAAAGAGCGTACTTTGTTATTTTCAAACGTAGATCATCAGAGTGAAGACAAATGGGCTTTTCCTAGTCTGTGTTTTCTTTTAAGTCACTGCTTCTGTCTTCCTCTGTGTGTGTGTCTGTGTGTGTGTGTGTGTGTGTGTGTGTGTGTGTTTGTAAGAAATAAGTTGGGTAGATGGACTATAATCTGGCCCAGAACTACATGGGTGGGCACAAAATACTTTTTCCATGGATGGTGGCAAAGAGGGTATATCTCTAATTGGACCATGAAGGGAAGGGTCCAGGTACGAGTGTCCCTTTACTCACTCCCCAGTTTCTAATGCAGTACCTTCATGAGCTGGAAGCCCACCTCCCTGTGAAATGAAGAGCCCTCCTTGGCCAGATTGTGTCACCTCAGCATGGTGAGTCTCTTATTATTTCCCCATTAGTCTTTTCTATCCATCAGTCTTTTCTATCTCCTCATAGAGAAGAGAAGGAAAGGTGTACCTACTGTGTACCCAGAAAGAAGAGAGTGACTTCAGGGTGTCACAGATGTAATTAAAACCCTTAGAAAAGGCTTGCTGCCCAGGCAGGTGGGTTGACCACTGTGAATTCCAGCTGACAGTCCCTGGAATCTTTTCAAACCACTAACTTGTACCATGGAACTCATCTGTCCCTTTTAAGTTCAGGCCGAAGTGATCAGTGGTCTCTCTTCAGGTGCAGCCCTGAGAACATTACCCTTGGCATTCATAGGGTACACAGATATTGACTGACTTTGATCTTAATGAGCCAAACTCTCACATGACCCTGCATCCACCATTCTGTAGATTGAGAATCTTTCTCAGAGAAGGACTGGTTACATAGAACTAAATGGAATCCTTGGGTTATTTTAGATATACAGGGATAAATTACTTTAAAAATCTATTGAATCTTAACTATTTTTTTTCAAGAGATAAGAATGGAAGACATTGTGAAAGACCAACAAAGAGTTGTTTACTTGGGGGAAGCAGTATTTTAGCAAAATTACCCCATCAATGGCAAGCAAGCTTGATAGATGAGTGAGGGGATGGCTGAGAGGGAAGAAATCCTACAAGGAGCTGAACAGGGGCTGGACAGGGTGATAGCAGAGGAAATGGAGAGAATATAAAGAATCAGAGAGACATGGAAATAGACAAAATAAGCAATTTGTGCTAGAGACTGAAGGTTGAAGAAGACTCCAGCATGAACTCAAAGGGTGTCATTTGAAAGAGTGAAAGGTGGCAAAGGAGAAGAAATGAGGATTGCCATGAATAGGACCTGGTTTCTGAGAGGCAGAGGAGGACTTCACTTTGGCTTACTTTAAGGGTAAGATGACTATGGAAATAGCCACAGGTAGAGTTGCACCTTCAAAGAGAAAAGTGGTCCCCACAATTCCCACCCAGAGGGTAGTAGACTCATGCAGACATGACACTTATTTAAACTGAAGAGGAGATGAGCACATGTGAATAAACTAGAGCAGGAGTCTATGAACTTAGATGGAAAAGCGTTACATCCTTAGGGTCCTTAACTTCTGACTGGAATTGAGCCCAGTAGGCTGCCTTATTTGTGTTTTTGTTTCCATAGTTTTAGTTATCAGTCATCAACCATAGTCTGAAAAAATTAAATAGAATATTCCAGAAGTACAAGTTCATAATGTTAAATTGAGCATTGTTCTGAGTATCATAACGACATCTCACTCTGTCCTGCTCCATCCATTCTTCATAACAACAACAAGAAGAATACAGACAGTAAGCTAAGAGAGAACTTGATTAAAATATGGAATTAAGTATGAGTTTATTTTGACACAACCATTTTTGGAATCCATGCATTGTTTTTTTCATAACATTTACTTGAACTTTTTGTAAATACCTTGTGTTTTGAGAACAAGATTACATTTATATAGCTTTTACTACAGAGTTTTATTATAATTGTCTGATGTTATCGTTATCTTTGGGCCTAATTTATACATTAAACTTTATCGTAGGTGTGTATGTGTAGGACAAAACATCAGTTTCAGGCATATGTACATATGAACATATCCCCTGCAGATGAGGGACTACTACAGTTCCTTTAACTATTAATACAGGCCACATACTCCTAACATCAGCAATTCTCATGACAGACCTCACAGTCACTGTCACATTCCATGTGTTGCAGATGTTTCAAAATACCATTTATATATGTTGCTACTTTGAAATCCTAGTCATTATTTCACCCACCATAAAATAATCTCATTCTCTAACATTTTCTTTAGAAGCACATCTATTATTGTAATACCAAAACTTTAAAAATCTTTCATGGCTGTATTTCAATAGAATTGTTTCCCCTTATAAAATTATGTATCTTTTTTTCTGCATTTCAAAGTAGCATTCTAAAAAGTGGTACATAGGTTTGCCAAACCACTGAAGAGGTCCATGACACCAAAACAGGCAAGCACCCTTGGGCCAGTGAGAAGAGAGAATCCTGGCAAGGTCCCAGGGAAGTAGGACGGTCCCATGGGTGCAGTGTAGATGAACTGGCTCATTTCAGAGAGGAGGAAAATCTTCAACTCTGAAAGTGTGTGTGGGGGAGAAGGGTAGAAGGTGGGGCACACATATGGCTGGAGTGACTTGACTATCAATATATAAAGTGACTTTTGCTGACACTACTATTTGCCAGCTTTTGTGTAGGTTTATGCTAGATAATGAAGTGAGGGGCAGAAGAGAAATTAGACTTCTTAGGAGCAAAAGAAGGTGAAGCATCATTAAGTGAGTACATTAAGGAAACCATAAAGTATGAGCCACCTTCCTGTCCCCCTTTGGCAATCTCTAACTGAAGCCTGTATATATTTCCTCCTGAATATCTCAGGTCAGTCTCTATTCTCTACCACTACCACCACCTGGATCAAATCACTATCACCTGTCATCTGGACTATTGCAATAGACTTGCAGTTGTTTACGTATACCCCTTAAAAGCCCCTTTTCAATGAGCTGTCTACAGTTAGAGGATCTTTTCAAACCATAAACTAGATCATGGAACTCATTTGTCCCTCTGCCTGGAATATTCTTTCCTCTCTTCTTCACCTTTTGACTCCTACTCTTGCTTCATTTTAACTCCCTCAGGAACTCTTCTCCTGACCCCCAGACCTTAGAATTTCCCTATCATTCACTATTATTGCACCATTGCTTCTCCTATGTGAAAAGTGAAAATTTACTCCAATTGTGATTTTATTGGGTTGTCGGAAAAGTCATGATACATTTTTGCACAGAAAAATACGTCATGACTTTTCCGACAACCCAATACATTCACTTGCATGATTTTTTGATTAATTTGGTCTCTCCTCATGGCAGCTACATGAGGGTAGGGATGAAATCCTGTCCATTCACTGCTTTATCTCTGCCATCCAGTACTATAACCAGCACTAAGTGGGTGCTCAAATAAGTATTTATGGAGTAAAAGAACGAGAGAAAGAGTTGGCGAAACATAGTGAGATCTGTGGTCATCACAGACCTCTTGAGTCTTTAAGAACTCAGGGAGTTGACTCTGCAACATTGCTATAGCAGGGGGCAGAGAGCCAAGAAAGGATTGGAAAAAAAAAAGAGTAATAGGATTAGGTTTGAGAATTTGGGTGGAGATATAAGAAAAGGCTAGACCAGAGAATGCAAAATCTTGCTGAGGCTGCCGACTCTTCAAAATGTGACTTGCAGGGACCAGCATTTAGCGTAATGGCTATGCTGCTGGACTCCCACGTAGGCGACCGCGGTTCAAGTCCTGGACCCGGTGGCTTAGAATCACGCCGGGTGCATGTGCGTGCGTGCCCAAGATCCCGAGAGGAGAATGGAGGAGAAGGGATTGCGGCGTGGCCATCCCCACTGGGGGGGGGGGTGATTTCTCGCTTTCTATCTCTCTGTCTCTCTCTGTCTGTCTGGCGAGCGCATGTGCCCTCTAGCGAAAACCTCTCAAAAAAATAAAATAAATAAAATTTTTAAAAAAATGTGACTTGCAGAGAGCTCTGTAGTTTGGAAGTCTTTAATGAAGGAGATGGGAAATGGAGTGGAAGGAGTTGAATAATGAAAGGCTCCCCTGAGCAGTGAACAGATTGGTGGGATAAGTAGGTGAGACGGAAGAGGAGCTGAAGACGGCAATGTCAAAACTGAGGTGTCAGATGAAAAAATGATGACCCCAAAAAAGACTACATTTGACTTACGAAAGACTACACTTGACTTACAAACCTTGAATTTCAAGAAGACTAACTCAAAAGAAAGCAAACATGGAGGCTGAGTAAGGATAACTAGCCCTGCCCTTATACCTCATGGGAAAAAAAACTGAAGAAATGAAAAAAAAAGCAAGGTAACTGATGTCTGCCATTAAGGGCCATAGAGAAATCCAATAACCCAATAGCTACTTCCTGGGAATTTGAGCCAGCAAGGTATCTTTTTGGTCTCATCTGCTCAGTGAAGAACTTGGTATCACTATGTGAGAATTGCAAAAGCTGGCAGAAATCAGTACTTGGCCAGCTTTGCAACTTCTGAACTAGCTGTCAGAGGTTTACCATGAAGCCTTGAAACTGCCAGATCTGGGACCAGCAGTTAGCGTAATGGCTATGTAGCTGGACTCCCATGTAGTCGACCGCGGTTTGAGTCCCTGACCTGGTGGCTTAAACTCACACTGGGTGCATGTGCGTGCATGCCCAAGATTCCAAGAGAAGAATGGAGGAGAAGGGATTGTGTGGCCATCCCCCTGGGGGGAGATTTCTCGCTTTCTGTCTCTCTGTCTCTCTCTGTCTGTCTGGCGAGTGCATGCGCCCTATAGCAAAAACCTCTCAAAAAAAAAAAGAAGCTGCCAGATCTGTTCTTCAGGGCTGGTTTGATGGGTGGAGGTCAGACTATTACTATGAATAATGCATTAATTTTAATAATAATTAATTTTTGTCTTTATTCATGATAGAGCACATGCACGTGTGCATAGAGTACCTTTCACAGAGTCTGACCATAACGGGATCCCCCTCCTCTAGTCCTTCAGCCCATCAGGTCTTGGGCACACATGTACCTGTGCTACATGGTTCAGGCTAAGGATCTGAACAACAGTCACTGTGTGAGATCTGGCTTCTCTTGAGAAGCACATTACCACTACACCATGAAGCTGGCCCATTAATAACATATTAATGGGAAATACTTATGACATGTTTGCTATGTGTAAGGCCCTCTTATAAATACCTTATATGCAATTTAAGCAAAAGTATCTTATGAAGTAGGTACTATTTCTAGATGGGCAAGTTGTAAGAGATTAGCTGATTTGCCAAATCAAGACCATTTGCCTTCAGCACCCAGGTTTATAAATACCAAGGGAGATTCCTGATGAAACTATTGGTTCTTATGTTCTTAATCATCACAGATAGTCACAAAGAGGGACTTTAGAGTTATTGTTTTAGTGTCATGGGAACTTTAATAATTGTTTTAGTCACTGTTGTTTATTGTTTACATTGACTAAATGATCAATTGGGAAAAATTAGCATAGGAAATAGCATGTGGATAGTAATATTTTCCTTTTAGTTGAACTTCATCTACTGTAGTTTTAATGATGACATAGCTTTAAGAGTGAGCAAGGTGAAGAGCAACTTGGAGAGATGTGATTTGGAAATCTTTGATATAGTTGATTTGGTTAAAAGGGCAAGACTGAAACCAGAATGGCAGAGGTCACAGATGTGCAACTTTGGTCAGGTTATTTAACTGTTCTGTAACATTGGTTCTCTTCTGTAAACTAAGACTAATGCTAACACTGCTTTTATAGGAATTTTAGGAAGATTAAGATTAAAGTAATTTATAATTATGCCTACATATACTAGGTACTCAACAGATTTTAGCTATAAAACAAAACAAAACAAAATAAAAAAAGATTGTACCTAGGGTTATGAGGACTGAATCCTAGGTGTGATTGAGGAAAAAGTAGAGGGATAGGTTAATATGTGGTAAAGCAAATACAACTCAATGTTAATGGTAGCGAAGATGGAGAAAAAGAGACCTAAGAATTGGATTTGCCATTTCTTGCCAAGGATTATGTCATAGGAGGAAGTGATGCCTAAAGTAGGGAGTGGAAAGGAAGAGCATTACAGAGACATAACCCAGAGTTCTGATATCATTGAGTCACTGTTAGGAACTGAATTCTGTCCCCTTGAAATTTGCAGATTGAAGCCCTAATCCCAAAGTGACTACATTTGTATATAGGGCCTTTAAGGAGGCAGTTAATGTTAAATAAAGTCATAAACCTGGGGCCCAACCCAGAATGACTGCTGTCCTTAAAGAAGAAGAAATCAGGATGCACAGAGAGGTCCAATGGGCGTGCGCTCACAGAGAAAAGACCATGAGAAGATGTAGCGAGAAGGCACTGTCTGCAAGCCAAGAAGAGAGGCCCTAGGAGAGACCAACTCTGCCAACACCTTGATCTTAGTCATCAGTGTCCAGAACTAGGAGAAAATTAATTTCTGATGTTTAAGCCACACAGTCTGTGGTGGTTTGTTACGGCAGCCCTAGCAGACTAAGACAGTCACTGAATTAACTAGTCTTGGAATTACCTACCTGCTGCCTCCAGTGACAGAATAAATATCACTATTTTAAACAAAATCATAGCTCTGCCCATTATTTAGGATAAGTTATTTAATTGTACAAGGCCCAGATTATTTACCTATAAAATCGGTATAAAAATAATTTCTATCTTCTAAAATTAGTGTAAGGAATAAATGAGAGGATAGAGAGAAAATGTTTGGCACAATGATCAAGACTTAGAATTTGACCAGTTCTCCTAGGAGGAGAGAGTTTATGAAAGCTCTTCTTGCATTATTACGTTGGTTTTCCACTGGACTGAATGAGGAAGGGCGAAAGAACTGGGTTGCTTGTTACTTTGTCCAATGAGACCATGCCATGTTTCATGAAGAACTCAAGACAGCAGCAAGAAACAACCAAGGGTTTGGTGCCACCACACTTCAGTGTCCATACTCAGGGTTAACATGTCTGCAGAGGGTCAACCTCAGCTCTTGGGGCCACCTCCCTCCTGAAGTTCTATATGAAACAGATTCCCAGGGTTGCAACTGATGCTGTTTCTCTCCTCTCTGTCCCAATCTAGAAAGGCAATCTACAAGAGTAATTCACACCCTGGGCAGCCACTTACCCACATCAGCCCCACTGAGTGCTTTTCCCAGGGGCCAGGGCCTCAAGTCGATTCTCTTCCCATTAACAGCAAGTAACTGCACACAGCCTTGAAAGCCTCGGTTTGTCCCCGTTGCTCTAACCAGCCAGTATGCACTGGGAGCCCCACCAACATAGAGAGGTGTCCGGAAGGTGATTTTACTGTACAGGCCCTTTAAGAAAAATTAACACTCTACTTTACTAAACAAAGCCAACACCATGGTACAACAGATTTCAATGGTTAAGATGTAAGTGACAGTTCCCCTCCCCTGACCCCACTGCCGTGTATTCTTCCTTCCATATTTATTTATCTTTAAGACATCACTGTACTGGAAAATTAAACCATGGTCACCACAGGAAACTTAGTGAGCTTCTCAGAGGGCTGTGCTCTAGAAAGGATGATTCTGGAATGCCAGGAAGGGAAAAGAGGTCAGAGCCAAGACCCACCCAATAGGCAGTCAACTATGCTGGGCCTCCAAAAACAACTTCCTCTTTCCAGTCCTGCCACCAACCTACTGTGTACCTTGGACGGGTCACAGAGCTATTCTGTATCTTAGAAGGTGATAATACTAATTTTCTGTGTACATAGGCCCACACTTACCCTTTCCCTTTTACTATCCTAGTTACCTCTATACTATACACTGCCAGAAACACTGTGGGAGGAAATCACCAAAGCGATAATGTTGCAAATTTTTTTGAAATTTGCTTATGAATACGACTTTTTTCTTTTCCTTTCTCCTTTTATTTTCTTTTCTTCTTAAAAGTGTTATTACAGTGAGGTAGGAAAATTTCCAATCTTAGATCAAGCCACAATCTGGATTGCAGGTTTTGAGGTTTCAAAATATAGAGCTGAACATTAGATGGAACAAAATTAAGGCACCCTGGGCTGGGTCATTCTTTTTTTTTTTTTTTTTAACTGAAATATGTCATTTATTTGGATAAAGGATTAAAAAAAATGTGTTGGAAAGGTATTCTTCCAGCACTTAGAAAATGTGCAGACTCTAAGCTACTGAAAGATAAATCTTTTAAACTTCTGTTCCCAGCCAATAGAAAATCTTATCATTGTTTTATCTTTCTAATGAATTGATAAGAATCTTTTATAAATATTAATAGTGGATTGAATCTGAGCTAGGCAGCTTTATAGTACTTGTAGTGGGTTTTAAGGATTAACTAGATTGTTTGCCAGCCACTCAACACACTGCTTTCATTAGATGAATTAAATACCCTCTTGGCTTAGTTCATCAACATCTTCAGCATTTACTTCCTGGATCCCATTCTCACTCTGGTTTTGTTCCCTGACCCAGGACCAGAGGAGGGGGCCTGACAGCCCAATCCTCTCAGAGAATTAAGTGCACTGTGGAGGTAGGTGGCCCTTGGAAGTGCCCTTCACAGTATCCCAGAAATAGACTTGGACCTTAGCCTTTACCTTTCTCTGGTGAAGTGGCCTACAGGTCCCTGGAATTGCTTTTCTGGCCTATGCTGAAAAGGGAAATATCCTGGAGTTTGTATTTCCTGGGCAGCCTTAATAGTTTGAGATAACTCAGAGGTATAGTCCATATTCTAGCGGTCTCCTATGGGATCAGGCAGAAGCCACATTCTGAAGAACTTTTCCTAAGTTCTCACTCTTGTTGACTTCCTCATCTTCTCCTGTCCATTTCACCTCTCTATTTCCAGTTTCCCCAAGGATCCACTTTCACAAGGCTCCTCATCTTAGGTCTGTTTCTGGGAAGCCCAACTTAAAGTGGAATCACTATCTCCCATGCCAGTTCATTAGACATTCTACATTTGTGGTCCTGCTAATAAAACTTGCTCAACAAGTCTCAGTAGTATGGAAAGAAATTTCGCCCTGAGTGTACATAAAATTACATCCTTCTTAAAATCCATTCTTATATTCAATAAAATTATAGAGTCTTGGGATTGAAAAAAAAATGTAAAAACTCATAATCCAAGTTCTCATTGGCTGTCAGGTTCCTTGTATGTCCATATCAGCAAGTTATCCTCGAATACCTCTGAAGGACAGGGAACTATCTCCTGAGGAAATATGTTGTACCTCTGTATAACTTTGTATGATTAGGTGAAGCTAAAATTACTCTCCCTGAGGCTCTTCCCATTATTCAGCCTTGGCGGTCCACAGAATAACTCCTTCTCCCTCAAGTCTCTGCATCTGACTCTATGATGAAAAGCCACCACCCATGCCTTCATCTTTTCAAAGTAAACATTGCTCCTTCAATCAATCTTTGAAGGGCTTTCCAGTCATCTTTCTGGCCCTTGAACATGCTGCAGTTAGTCTATGGCTCTCTGAAAATGTGATCACGGATATGAATGCAGTCCTATCAAAGGATTAGTGTCATCATTAGAATCACTGGAAGTTATCATATCATCACCAGAACAGGATAAAATTGTCACCATTCTTGTTTACAGGCTATGCTTCTATTAACACAACCTATAATTTCCTTGGTGTGCTGTTACCACACAACCCACTTTGTTATCCTTTATTGAACATCTTTGTTTGACACCATTATGTGTTTTCATGTGTTGCTTCTACTATAGATTCTGCATCCTTTTGGACCCAAGTTCAAGATTTATTTCTCCAAATTTCATTTTATCATGTTAGGTTTTTGTTCAGGCATTTATGTGACTCTATAGTCATTCACCCAATCTTTTCCTTTCCTAGCAATATGGACAACAAGCAATCTCCCTAGATTCACATTTGGATTTTTTTGTCCCTTTGGAACCTCTGGGGACCAAATTAGTACTTTTTTTTTTCTTTTAATTCCTTTTTCTCTTTTGGATCATCACAGCTTGGCTCTTTATTTAACATGTCTTGCCAACAAATGAAGAGTCCAAGCAAGGAGGTAGCTCTAAACATATACACAATTCCTTTTTGCTATATTTTCCTCAGAGAATACAGACACCTGCCTGATTATAATTACAGGCTTGGTTCCTTGGCAGGTTGCTAATCCAAACTGTTTATTCTAAACACAGTCCTAAAATTGCCCAGAGCATAACAAATATGTGAGTATCTAGGTGATTTACTGAGTAGCCCAAAAGTTGAATTATTTTACCACTTCCTACAATCCTAAAAAAGGGAGATAAATGAATTATTCCTGTATATTGAACCAAGTGAACCTTTCAGGGCTATTTTTTAAAGCCACAAGATTGCAACACCCCTACCTTAAAAGCAAGCTTTATGTTTGACACTAATAATGGGTTCTATTCTTCCAATATGGGCCTTCCTCTACCTGTGGCTTTGATGTTCTGGTAGAAAGAGAACATGCCCCTGGGTATGAAGCCTAGATTATGTACCTGTGCACCCAATAGTGATGATGACTGTGAGTTCAGTTTTTCTTTTCAGTTGATGTGGGATGGATATGTGCCCTGAAAACTAATAGGAATGGCAAGACTGAATAGGGGCACACGGGAAGCTTAGTTGAGTGGGTTCACCATGATAAATGGGTCTCACCAAGCCCATCTAAAACTTTGATTTAGCTAATTCTTCCTGGACTGTCTGTAGTCAGTCTCTCAAGGGATGTTTGGGTAGATAGAGTAGGCAAGGTATGAGGGTTCCACTCACCTGGGACTGGCCTGTCACTGGGGTGCCATTGTTCAACTGCAACAGCCCATTCAGGCCATCTCTGTAGAGTGTAACTGTGTGCCAGCCCCCCAGTTTAATTTTGGTCTCACTTATGATAATGGCAACACCAGTTCCACAATTAAACCTGAAAGAGAGGGAAGGAAAAGAAGATTCTTTGATCAATCAGATCATTACTCATGTTTTCCAACTCCATTGACATCACTTCCAGGGTAATAGCTCCTCCCACAGTTAATCTGTTCAGTTACATCTATGAATATCAAGAGCTATTTAAATCTATTCACAGAACAGTTAGATGCCTCTTCCCTAAGATGATTTCATTCTAGTTTTCATTAATCTGTCCTTGGAATCTTTCAACATAGGATCTTCTTTAACCTGATTCTCTCTGCGGCTTAAAAAATGATGGGCAACAAATGCTGACCCCTCTTTTTCAAAGATAGCAAGATGTTTAAAGTAGATTCGAGGTGCAGCAAGTTAGAAAGTGGACCACTCTGCTTCCTGGGATTTCTCCAAGGACTTTCTTCATCTCACAAATGTTAGGCTCAGCGATATTAATAAAATGTAAAAATCCAGGTCTTCACACTTATTTTGGCAAACTTGTCAGTTCTGCCATCTGTACGCAGCTGTGCTCAAATACAGGTGAGACTCCCATAGGAGGTGTGGGACAGAGGAGGAGCTTCCTCGGTGGCTGCATTATTCTTGTTTCATTGTTTGTTTGTTTTTCCCAACATCCCAAAGCTCAGGGGTGCCCACTGGTCATGATGTCTGATACGTAGAATTTTGTTCCTTTCTAGTAGCTCCCAAATAGGTACCACGCATCTTATGTATGAATTGAGATTGCCTCCTGGGGATGACACATGACCAGCATTGTCCGTATTAAGATTTGCATGATTTGCAGCCCACCTCTCTGGGCTTCTTTGTCTCATGATCTTTAATAGAGAGGCATGGGGTCAACAGGCTTACCTGAGGGAACATCAGAATCACTCCATAGGAGTTGCAGGGTTGGAGAACTACTACCAGCTAATAACTGGCAGTTCTACTGACTGTCAATCAGAACCACTACATTTTCAAGCTCCACAAACTTAGAACCACCAACCCAGATCTTGGTGGCTAATATCAAACTTCCATTAATAAAATTATTTAACAAAGAATGAGACCCATTTTCTAGCCTGAATGGATGCTGAAAGTTTTCTACAATTTAACCCAAACTACTTTTTTATGTTGAAATCATAAAAAAAAGATAATAATGGTTGATGCTTATTGAATGCTTACTATGGGTCAGGTGTAGCTCTAAGCACTTGTATGGTTTAACTCATCCAATCCTCACAATAGCTCTATAAGAAAGCACAGCCTTGGAGAGGTTATATCATTTGCTGAAGGTCAGGCAGTAGTCAGACAATGGTGCCATTAGGATCTTAGCCAGTGCACTGTGGCAAAGGAAAAGGCTGATGTCTACTGGTCACTCACAAACAGGTGCTGTGTACACATCCTTAAGGGTGATTAAACACTGCACCTCCACATAAGTCTGCCCTTCTTGGTCCCTCATAAGCATACATAAGCTAAAGGTCGCTTCCAGAGTATATTGGAAGAAAAGTGACCAGGGCAGAGGAGGCAAGACCAACAGCTTATACAGCCCCAGGGAAAGACAAGGATGGGGTGGAGCTTTTATAAATCCCTAGGAGTCTGTAGATTTCCTTTCTCTTTTCCATGGCAACCAGCTGTATTTGCCACGAGACGATCCCAACCTTCTTCCCACCACCTGCACTAGAGTTCTAAGAGATAACGGATTTTCTTTATCTCTTTGGCTTACTTCTGCATCTCTAGGACCTACAGCAGTGCCTGGTATACTGTGGGTGCTCAAGAAACATTTGCTGTTGCATAAATGAATGTTCTTAAGGTTCCAAAACTCAAGTTTCAAAAGCTGTACTACAATCCTGATATTCTAGTATTTGGTAAACTGGTCCATGCTCATCTTACACACACCATTCCTTTATCTACTGGAATTCATCCTGTATATATTTTTATTCACATTATAAAAATGCAAAGGTAACAGGATTGTTTGTTCAAACTTTGTGGAGCTCTTGGTGGGAATTACCTGAATTGAAGGGCACGTCTGATGATAGCCAGGGACATGAAATCACCCCTCCCATGGTCATTCTCTCCACAATAGAGCAGTAAGCCATCCTCTGCCTCAGCCTGTTATTATGCAAACAAAAGACACAAGAACAATGAGCATCTTCTTTACCATAAAGAGCCACCTAGAGACATGCATGAATATGAAACTTGACCATTCTCCTTTGCAATCCTATTTACAAAGGGGCAAGTACATGAACTCCAATCAATTCCCTGGTACTCAGTCTCTGGTACTTGGCTCATTTTCAATAAACAAATCATAGTGCAAAAATAGAGTGTGAAAAATGGCAGTGAGATGAGAAGAAGGGGACACCATCTTTGACCTGCTCCTTACTTGTCTTTGTGCAGAATCTCAGTATGACATGTACAGAGACCACGTCACAGTGAGGACATTGCCCATGATCATCAAATTCTATTCTCACTTAAAGGCATGCAAATTCTTTCCATCTATTAGGTGAACAGAATCGGAAAAACAGCCCAGCTGTTAGCCATGTTGGCTATCTTGGACTAAGGCAGATTATTTCTTGGACAATCATACTATGGCTATGACCTCAAGAACACTTGTTTCAAGACTCCAAACCTTTTTTTTTTTTTTTTTTTGATCTCCAGAGATATCCAAACAAATCACTTCAAGCTAAAGTCACTAATTTAATTCTGGTCTGCAATTGATTCAGATCAGAGAGCCTCCATTGTGCTTTCGTGATATGCCAGAATTGTAGATAGCATGGTTTTCCTATTTGTTCAGTTACAGCTATCAGAATGAAGACAGGCATGGGAGCTCCCTTTAAAAGGGATTTGGGCATGAAGGATGCATTTCTTCTGAAATTGCTGCCTTGAAGAAGTCACTATGAGAAATAAAATAGCTAGGATCATGGCTATTACCCCAAAAACACTTTTTTCAAAACTCCAAACCTTTTTTTTTTTTTTTTTTTTTGATCTCCAGAGATATCCAAACAAATCACTTCAAGCTAAAGTCACTAATTTAATTCTGGTCTGCAATTGATTCAGATCAGAGAGCCTCCATTGTGCTTTCGTGATATGCCAGAATTGTAGATAGCATGGTTTTCCTATTTGTTCAGTTACAGCTATCAGAATGAAGACAGGCATGGGAGCTCCCTTTAAAAGGGATTTGGGCATGAAGGATGCATTTCTTCTGAAATTGCTGCCTTGAAGAAGTCACTATGAGAAATAAAATAGCTAGGATCTCAATATTCTCAAGGGGAACCTTCAGGCCAGCTGCTTACATAATTCAGTAAAATACAAAACCCATCCCACTCTGTGGTATCCTTGATTATTGTCAATGTGTTCACCATTCCTGCCCTTGTGCACCAGTTGAAGGACAGGCTCTGTGTCATATTCACCTTTGATTGCTCTCACTACTTCCTGTCTTCCTCTTTTCTCCCCTTGGGAAATAGCACATTGGTGTGTTAAGTTATTCAGTAAGAATAGTAATCAAAAGATTAATTTGTCTTACCCTAAATTCAAGAGTAATTTGAAATGCCTGATAAGAGTTCTTCAGAGGTTCAAAAGTCATATAGGAGTGACCAAAAAACTGAGGATACTGTATAACAATATCTGAAAAAGGAAAAAGACAACACAAAAGAATATTGTTCCCTCATTTCTTCAAAAGCAAAAATCTTGCCTAGATATCATCAAATAAAAGCCCTCGCTAATCTGCTAAATTGTGCTATCTTCTTTTTTAGTTTTTATGTCTACTTATTTTTAATTTATTTTAATCCATGGGAACTTTGACTTTTGAAATTCTTAGAAAGAAACTGGATTTTTGGAGTCTGGTACTTGCTTTCCTGAAAGACTATCAGAGATGTTAAACCACTGACATTCCCAGCTGTCCATTTGTGTAATATAAGTAGACTCAAATATTATCCTTATACACATATTTCAGTTGTAATTTTGGGTAGAGGTGTGATAATAATAAAGCCCACCTCCCTAACATGCTATTGGATTATTTAATTATTGCTCCAAAAGAACTACACATTTAACACACATAGAACTAGGGTTGCTATCCAATTAGGAGCAATGGAAGTTGCCTCAGAATTCACCTTGTGTAGCTAACTTAATGACCACTATACAGAGGAAGAAACTCATCTTACAAAAGGAACTAGAAGGTAACATGTTTAGACTCTTGGTGAGGCCAGTCTGCCACCATTCTCCTCCCCTTCCCCAAAGACCTACCTTCTGAGCAGCTCTCACCACCTTTGCCCAGGTTGCAATGGCACCGTGAGCCACCCCACGTATAGTCATTGACACAAAAGCTGTCAGCAGAACAGAGAGTTTCATCACAAGACATGTCGAAGAGCCTTGACATCATGGCCATGCCATTCTTCCCCTTCCTCTCTTCTGGAGTGGGCTGGAGAGCCACTGTGGTTGTAGAGATAGATGCTGAGGTAGGGGGGACAAGCCTGGAAATAGTCTTTGGGTTAGATACAGATGTCACCTTGGGTTCCATCAAAAATTTCTTATTCACTCTTTTGGTAGCAGGAAGTGGTTTAACCTAAAATCAGAGAGAGAGAAAGATTTGGGATAAACACAGAGTGTGGTAATCAGACTGTAGTGTTTGTGGTTGTTGCTTATGACTTAAAATTATAATCACTGGTTTTTGTTTGTGTTTGTTTTGAGAGGTGGGTGTTTATCTTTTTTTTTTTTCCTGCCAGTGAGAGAAAGAGGAAAAGCAAGAGGAAGAGAGAGAACCCCCTCCTCTGCCCAAGCAGGGTCATGCTGTAATCTCTTTCCTCCATTTCTTCCATCCAGTCAGAATATTGGGCATGTACACATATGTGTCTGGTATCTTTTTCAAGCCACTAAGTCTGGGATTCCAACTACAGTCAGCCCTGTGGGATCCAGCTCCCAATGCACAGTGCTTAACCACTGTGCTACAGGGCTGGCCCTATGGTTGTTGTTGGTACTTCTCAAAAGCCTGCAATGTGGATGGGACAAATTGTACTGATCTCAATTTATGGACAAAGAACTTAAAGCTCAGAAAATTTAAATTCTTTGGCTTTTATTACCCCAAAATTAGTGATAAAGTTTATATGATATGTTTTATTGTTATTATAATACTAGAACTTTTTTTTTGGATAGTTTTTTTTAAACCCCCCCCCCCCATAGGGCGCGTGCACTCACCAGACAGACAGAGAAAGACAGAGAGACAGAAAGTGAGAAATCACCCCCAGGGGGGATGGCCACGCCGCAATCCCTTCTCCTCCATTCTCTTCTTGGGGTCTTGGGCACACATGCACATGCACCTGGCATGAATTTTAAGCCACTGGGTCCGGGACTCGAACCGCGGTTGACTACCTGGGAGTCCAGTGACATAGCCATTACGCTAACTGCTGGTCCCTAGAACTTTTTTTTTTTTTTTTTAGAACTTTTCATTTCTTTATAGTACCTGATATAAAATTTCACTTGGTGGGAAATCTGGATATGTTTTTTGCCAGGTTATGATGTCAGCAGGCAGAGGCTATCTATAGAACATCACCATGGTTGAAACTCCCCTACTACTAATTTATGATCACCTGGGGTCTAATAGAAGAGACAAATTTGCATTGAAAGCAAATGAGCCAATTTATGTTTTAAGTAGAATTTTCATGGTGCATTTGCTAAGTTGCCTTGTTTGCTAGGAAAACAAAAACACCCTGGGTTTTAAGAGCAGAGATTTTTGTTACCTCCTCAAAGGAAATATCCAAATCTAAGTCGTCTTCAAATCCCTCATCATCCTCACTGTCTCCCATGTCGGTGATGTAACTGGGTCCATAGCGGCCACTTCCTGCTTCCTCGGGGCCTTCACAAAAAAAAGCATCATACCTCTGTCAATGCATGCTTCTGCCTCATTTTCTGTTCCGACTCAGCCATGTACTGAGTTAGCTGTGCCGCAGAGATTGGGATACATTGGAAACACACAAGGAGTTCAACACAGAAGAGGAGCATCAAAGATCAAAACATATTTTAAAACTTTCCATTCTTAAGTAACAAGGAAATGAAAATTAAAACCAGAAAGAACTGCCATGTTATATTGACAAGATAGGTAAAAATGTGAGTAGGGCAATAAAAATGACCAAGGATGGGATTGATGGTGACTCTTGTACACTCACATTAAATGTACAAGCGGGTGCGACCACTTTGCAAAACACATCAGAATATTTTGAAAAGTAGAAGTGTTCACATTCTGTGACCCACAATATTTTAAAAAGTAGAAATGTTCACATTTTATGAGCCACACCAACAATCTCACACCTACTTTGGAAACCTAGAGAAACTCTCGTACTTGTGTGCCAAGAGTATGTGCAAACAGGTTCAGGACATAAGAATTGGTAATGATAAAAAATACTCCAAACTCCTATTTATAAGAACAAATCATGTCTCAAATGTCCATCATCAGAGAATGCATAAATGAATTATGGAATGGAGTAGCAGGGGAACTGAATGAAGGAGCATTTGATACATGAACATGGCTTAATCTCATATGATTTCATGCAGAAAATGAATATTGCAAAAGAACACATCGAACTTAATGGCATTTATATAAAAATCAACAGCAAGTGAAAATTGATATATTATTTTAGTAATAAATGTATATATTGTCATCAGAAAAGTCATAATGGATTTTTCTATATAAAAATTTATCATGATATTTCCGACATCCCAATATAATTTACACTCTTACATAAGACAATGACAATCACCAAAATACCCAGTGGAAGTTAGAAGAGGTATGTGAATGAGATGTGAGAGGCAGGAGCCTTAGAGAATATTCTGTTTATTAAGATAGGGGTGGGGCCAGCAGATGGCATCATGGTTGAGGTGCTGGACTCCCACTTTGCTGACTGCAGTTAGAGTTCTGGCCTGGAGACTTAAAACTCATTCTGAGCACATGTGTGTGCTTGCCCCAAATCCCAAGAGGAGAATGGGGGAGAAGGATCTGCAGCATGGTCATCCCTCCTGGGGGGTGATTTCTCTCTTTCTGTCTCCCTGTCTTTTTTCTGTCCCTCCAGTGACTGAATGCACCCTTATAACAAAATCTCTCTCTCTCTCTCAGAAAAAAGAGATGTGCTTAGTACATGTGAGTGTTCATACTATTTTGATATTCTTTATATATGTGTGTGTATATATCATATATATATATACTTATAATGTAAAAAGGATTACAAATTGTTCTAAACAAGAAATAGAAGACGTAGTGAACACTCCCACACCCGAGAATAAGCACTGTAAATGGTATCTTGGAAAGCCAACCATTTCCATCAATCATAGCAGGACATGGGCACTTTTAGAACTAGAAGGTAAGCTGAGAAAAACTCTTAAGAGACAATACAAGGAACTGTTGTAGGAGGATTGTCAGATTAGTATTTTCACTCATGTGCAAATTTCACAAAATTCACTGGTCCACGTTTTCTCAGACTTGGACTTCTTACAGGCAATGTCATAGCCAAGAGTCATAGCCTTTCCAAGTGCTTATCCTTAGTGCCCTCATTTCCTCATGCCAGGTTGGAACTGGCACAGGGAGTACAAGGGGGCTCAAGAAAGTTTATGGGAAGTTGGAATTAAAGTATGAGTTCATTTTGGTCCAAAAATATTTGAAATCCATGCATTTTTTTTCAATCATATGCATTTTTCCATGAACTTTTTGAAGGCCTTTTTTTACAGTTGGTTCTCTACATCCATAGATTCAGCCACCCACAGCATGAAACATGAGAAAAAAATAAAAATACCAGTACAAGAATAAAAAATATAAATGTAGGGACCAGCAGTTGGCATAATGGCTATGTTTCTGGACTCTCATGTAGTTGATCACAGTTCAAGTCCTGGACCCGATGGCTTAAACTCATGCCAGGTGCATGTGTGTGCATGCCAAGATCCCCAGAGGAGAATGGTGGAGAAGGGATTGCATCATGGTCATCCTCCTTTAGGGGCAATTTCTCATTTTCTGTCTCTCTTTCTTTCTGGAGAGTGCACACACCCTATAGCAAAAATCTATTAAAAAAAAAAGAAAAGAAAAAAAAGGAAAAACATATATACAGCATGCAATTATTTACTAGTATTTACACTGCAGGTATTGTAAGTAATTTATAAATGACTTAAAGTACACAAGAGAAAGTATATAGGTTGTAGGTAAACACTATGCCATTTTATATAAGGAACTTGAGCATCTCTGGATGTCAATATCTGTGGGGACAGCTATACTAATTAAAAACTGGGCATACGAGGCACCAGCTTCTGGATCAGTAACAACCTTGGTAACAAAAGTCAACTTCAGTAGTTTGCTGATGACCATTAGTTATTAGGTATTCAATATCTGGATGACTGATGAAAAAGGAAAAGAAAAACAGCATAAAAACATAAACTGAACTTAAAAACACCCTGTTTTCAGAAAAAGCTAAGCCAAATGCCTTTCTCATAAAAACAAACTCACCCTCCTTGTTTTTATTCATTTGGGCTGCTATAGCAAAAGAGACCAAACCTGGGTAGTTTATAAGCAACAAAACTTTATGTCTTACAATTCTGGAACTTGGATAGTCCAATATACCAGCAGATCTTGGGTATGACAAGGGCAGTCGTCCTTCCTACCTTCTATGAATCTTCACATGGTAGAAAGGGCAATGAGCTCCCTTGGGCCTCTTTAATAAGGACATTGATCCCATTCACGAGGGCTCCACCTTCACGATCTAATCACCTCCTCAAAGTCTCACCTCTTAATACTGTCATATTGGAGATCAGGACTTCAATGTGTAAATTTGGGGGACATTCAGACCATCCCACTCCTCTAAGAAAAATGGCAAGCAGACTGAAAATGGAGCTGAAGGAAATGACAGAAAACCATTTCTGCTACAGTGCACACTATTGACCAGAAGTCTTCTGGACTAGGAAGAAAGAAATGTAGTCAGCAGATGATTTGGAGACAAGATGGAAAAACTGTACTCAGGTGTTTCATCATATCTTCACGGAGGTGAGATAGGACAATGGTGGTAATATTCTCACCTCTGCACCAATTCCCTACAATTTTACTTAAAATAACCCACCCATCAGCTGAACATTCAAGTCCATCTATGTGGATTTATACCTGGATGTGTGTTCTCTCAAGCCACCTGCATAAAGCATAGCTGTGTGCCATTGTTTTACACAAAAAGCTCTCAGGATAGCTCCATCCCCTTATTTCTCTTTGTCTCTGTAGCTCTCTTTCTCACTGCCTTTCTCTATTTCTCTGGGTCTCTTTCTTCTCTCTGTCCCTTCTTCCCTTCCCATTTCTTTCTGTCTCTCTTTCATATATTTAGAATAGAGGAGTTTCAGAGGAAGCAATCTATTTGGTAGTAAGAGAATTGTATAACACATACATGAAGAAAGCTGATTTTTAAAAATATTTATTTATTTTAATTATTACTACTTCTTTTTTTTTTTTTGGAGAGGTTTTTGCCATCGGAAAGAAAAAGAGAGAGAGAGAGAGACAGAAAGTGAGAAATCATCCCCCAGGGGGAATGACCATGCCGCGGTCCCTTCTCCATTCTCCTCCCAGGATCTTGGGCATGCATGCACACACACCCAGTGTGAGTTTAAGCTGCCAGGTCCAGGACTCGAACTGCAGTCGACTACATGGGAGTCCAGCGACATAGCCATTACACCAACTGCTGGTCCCTTAAATTATTTTTATAAAGCAAAAATTACAGATTTTTCAACATAGAATTTACACTCTTTTGTCTGTTAAATGTTTCTTCCCTTTGTCCCTACCACCTATCCTTTACCACCATTCTCTACCACTCCACTTGCTTTCAGTCTCTGGTTTCTATACTTACCCTCTCTACTATAATATCTTCAGATCAGAAAGCTGATTTAAATCATTAGCGGGTTGCTCTTTCTACCTTAATGGTGTTCTCCCTTACTCTGTGCATATTCTTGACATTTTTGTACATATTCTTATCAATGTTAAGATTATCTTCATCTTCATTTTTATGGTATCCTATGGATAGAACACTGGAAAGAAAACTTCCAGTGTTTCTCCACTACTTTCAAGACAAATTTAGGCTCCTTGGTCAAGAATTCAAAACAATTCCCTTTTACTTCCTTTTTTCTCTCATTATCATTTTTTAAAATCAAAACCTACTGTCTCTCTCCTACTTACCATGTGCTTCTTTTCAGTTAATATGTTTCTATATCTTATAATAATCTTGCAAGGTAAGTACGATTTAGTTCCACTTCATAAGTATTGAAACTAAGAGAGGTAAAGCAAGTTACCTAAAACCAAAGACTGTAATTGGCCAAGTCTAATTTGAATCTAAGTTCAGTTTATTTGCTTTTCTCTTAGTTGCTTGTAATAGAAGAGTCACTGTGGGCATAGAAAAAGCATGAAATTTGAAAAATTAACACATATGGGTTATTGTCAGTGTGCTAGGAGACTTTCATACTTTGTCTCTATTAATCCTTACAAAATTCTATAAAGTTGGTATTATTACTCTCATTTACCATGTGGAGATATTAACTCCAAAAGATTAAATAACTTATTCATAGGTATGTAAGCAGTAAATGTCAAGGCTAGAGTATATCCCTGGTCTTTCTTTTGGCTATATCACAGCATTTATAATGTGACTTCAAATTGTGCTTTTAGTTTCTTTTTTCCTCTTCAAAAAGCCATATATTCCCAAACTGGTCTGCTAGTTGTCTCCTGAATACATCTTTTTTTTTTCTTACCAGAAGTCATTAATTAATACTTTCTCAAGATGGCAAATGTCTCTGACATCTTGTCTCTTCTCCTATCTCCTTACACATAGCCTGCTCATTCTTCCAGCTTGTACA